GTATTAACCCTCACCCGAATACCCTCTAGTAAACATTGAATAGCAGATGAAACAGCTATACATCTGCGTATATAGCATAGATTCAAAAAAAGTGTCGGTAACACTTAAGAAAATCACTTCTGTCAACCTATTTGACCAGTCTATAAACCTACATACGCACACACATACTCATCATCTCACTCTTTCCCTCTTCTGCTTCATCATATAGATATGACATCGTTTTTAAAAAATCTTACTTTCTATCTTGATTGTGACGGCTTCATGAGAGAGAGAGAAGAAGAAGAAGAGAAAGGTAACTGTTAGTAGGATATCTTAGCACATACACACGCATATATGCACTGTTTTCAACTTAAGTACTTTATGATGAGTAGTAGTAGTAGTAGTAGCATATCTGGTGTTAACAGTCAGTCCATAAAGAGAAATTTCAAATATGCTTTACACTACCTACGCACACAAATGTCAAGGTCTGAGTGAAAATCGATTTTCTTTTTTTTGTTATTGTTGCTTAATTTAAAAATGAATCAATAATTCTTACATGCATGTATACTTACAATTGGCTGACTCAAGGTCATGGCGGAGATAATTTGGAATCGTCGGTTAAAAATAGACACTGTGCAGGATATGAATGCAGTTCTAAAAAAAGGTTCAAGGTTGATTTTCTGGTAGTCAATCCGTCAGTGAATCAGTCAACCAGTGAGTGAGTGAGTTAGTTAGTCAGTTAGTCAATTAGTCAGTCAGTCAGTCAGTCAGTTAGTCAGTTTGTCAGTCATTCAATCAGATTGAGGGAAAGCATACCTAACTCATTAACCAGCGTTATAAAATCACAATTTTTCGAGAGTATTTGTTTTTTTTTGGGGGGAGGGGGGTTGGATGAGTAAGATATGGCAAGGTGGAAGGTGAACAATAATGATACAAATTGAAATCAATCTTAATCGATAATCATTCACTCTAGGCATCATGTCAGTGTGAAAGCAAAATAGGGAAGAAGATATACTCTTAAAAACGAACAAATCATTAATAATATCTCAATTCGAATTAAACTGATGTTTTAATGGTTAAATTTGCGTGTGCGGCGGGTGGGCGGCCGGGCGCGTGAGATTCAGTACCTTAAAAGAATCCAGGTTACTAGACTGCCATTCTTCTAAGCCTAATTACTTAAGTAATGCCCAAATAATGATAAAATGTAGCGTTAATGGCATCAACTAACTAATTAGTGATAATAATCATAATAATGTGGTGGGTGTACAATTACTGTCTATCTTATCCTGTATCGATTTTCATTACCCCTCCCTCTCCTCTCTTCCCTCATTTGTGTGAAATGACTCGTATAAATCGATGAAAATACTTAAAAACTGGACTGTATTAGTTGACAGTGAAATCCAGGTCTTATGTGTTTCGTTTTTTTTAGAACTCATCAATCAGGATATCAATTGAGGAAGTATTGGAAATTTTGGCATAATGAATAGCTGAGCTACCGTTTTCCTCTCCTAACAGCATACGCCTTTAGGGTTTGAACTCTCGATCATCATGTTAACATTCAGCTACTCGGTTGTAACATAATAATCTGTATTTTGATATTGGGTGTTAATTGAAGGTGGAATGAATATCTGACTGACGGTAGGACTCGAAATAGTGACCATCTGGTGTCTGAAAACTCCAGGTTGGTTGGTAGTTGGTTTATACTACTCGGTATCGGGAGATGAATAACTCTTTAAAGGTGACTTTGTTCTTTTTTAAGGCCTACTACTGGCATGTTGACATTGAAAACGCGGACTCGAGCTCAGTATCCAAGACGTAATTTTGGTCTGTGACTACCAATGTACTGAAGTCTCACTTGAGAGTTGTTACATTAATGCAGTAGTCCAACGTGCAATTCAGAACGATCCAACGAGCCACATTGACTGTGACGTTTATTCTCTAGATATTCTAACATTCCAGAAATCGTTATACCATAATGAGGCTATGTTATACAGCTAACTGGACGGCGAGGGTGACAGTACTACAGTGACCAGCGGTGCCTTTCCTGTGGGGGGAAGAGGGGTTACAATGCTTGGTCCTAATAGAATCAAACTCCCCCAACACCCTGTAGTATACCAGTGCCAGTGGTATGCATTCATAGTCACAGTCAAAACTGAGCAGCTAAAATAAGTGACAGGCCTTCACCTGATAGCCTCCAGGCTCCACATTCCCACACCAGACCTTCCATGGTGCAAACACTCACCCGAACACCCCCTCACAACTCTGTCAACTCTCATTGCCTTTCTTCAAGTCTTTGTCAACTGGAGAGGACCCCTGGAAACCAAGTGTTTCGGCCTAGCTCGCGGCTCCTCAGTTGAAGAGAAATTGTGAAGTGTTGAACTGACCAAGTCATGTGGTTATCTCCAACTTGACCGCCAAAAGGATTGCAGGTGCCCCGTGTTCCGCAGCAATAAACTAGAATCGAACAGCTGTCCGGGGCTCTCAGACTTCCAGTGGTTCCCCAAATGACACCAAGTCGCTGACGAAATCAAGGACTTGTGATCACTAATGAATGGAGATGTTGTTCCCCGTGCTGATGAGTCATAACAGTGTCGACATGACAGATATTACGACTGCCTATCATCTAAGCTGACGGTGGGGGGAGAATGTGGTTCATTTGGCAGGGTGGGTTGGTAGACGTAAGCTTTATTGACGCGAAACCCTACGGACAACCAACCAGATTGCAGATGGTCACCTGAACGTAATTTACCACATCCGTTTACCATGTTGTCCGGTCGAAATACACGGAGGGAACATTTCCAGTGGATAAAGAATAGGTAAGAAGAATCTAACCTACCAGTTATAGAAAAATGGGTAACATCGGGTACTACACGTTTACACAGATGCTTGGAAGTCTGGAACCGGTTACTTCCATCACACTATTGGTCACAAGAAGAACTTTGTTGCTCAGATTGCAGAAGTCACAGTATAAACATCCAGGATCTAGTATCAGGAGGCTATATGATATATTTGGCTGCCAATACAGACAGTGGCAGGTTTTGAAATTTGATTAAGGTATTGAATATCCAGATATCTTCATTCCTCATGTAAAACATTCATAAATTGTAAATAATGTACCATTTCCGTTAGTATTTATGCTGCTTTTCAAATACCGAATTCTGATTGGGCATTGCAAACTCGAAAGTGATTGGCCGTCACTAAGGTGTAGTCCTACTCACATTGGCTTCCAGAGAAAAATTTTCAACCAATCGACTGCCAATTCGAACACCGATCTGTTTACCGGCTATCAGGTGAACTAACATCAGCAATTCTCACACAAAACATGCAGCACAAAGGTGTCTCCTCCGTTTACCCTTACTTCATAAGGACTGTTCACTTGAAAAGCGGATTTATCAGTCAGCTTAGAGTAAGAAGATTGAATCTGAGGTTCGCCTCAAGTTTCGGCGTAGCTCCAAGTTCCTAGCTGGTCTTCACATTTATGCGCACTCGAACAGAAGCGTTAGGGACAGGTCGCCTCACCGATCACCGTTGTTTTCGTATCGTTGTTCATATGGGTTGAGAGGGGCAGGGTTTGGCATAGCTGTGTAGCCAAAACGAAAAACAGGACAAATCAGTTTTGTAGACTTTCATCGGCGGAGAAATGTGTTGCAGACGTCTAGGAATTGTCTGTTATGAAGTTCGCTGTTGCAACTGAACCTGAATTCTGACTTTAATGTGACCAGTCCATGATATGACTTGGCCTTCAGTCGATTTAAGCAGCAGACAGAAAGTTATCGAAGAGGCTGTAAAGTCACACTAACCACTTTCTTAGCGGCAAGGATAGTTTGAACGCACTTTATTCAGTAACAAGATTCTGAATGGTAGATTCATCCATTTTCTATGTCCCTTCCTCTATCTGTCTCTCACACACACTCGCATACAATCTGACACCTCGTACACCTCCTCCCCTCTCCCTATTTTCTTATTTCACAATATTACAACATACCAATCGTATGTGCGTAATTTAGGGCTTTCTTGAAGGGGTGGGTGGCGGTGAAAACAGACTTACTTTTTATTGGCCTCCACCAATCGCCCCCCCCCTTCATCTGTATTTTCCTTATGTATGACAATGGTCATTTGAAGTCTATGGAGAAAACAATGACGAAAATTGATCGAAAAATATTTTCTTTGAAAAAATACCTTGAAGAAAGAAAGCGTATGCCTACTTCCCCCGAATTTCTTTTCTAACCCAACGATCTTGTTTAACACGTGCCCACTCACCTCCACCCTAACTTCAATAACCGCGATTCATGTGTGTCTGTCTCACCCCATGCTGATGACGGGTGGGCTAAATATGTACACACACACACAAGTAGACATGGAAAGCCAATAGGATGCAGGCTAAGCCATTATCATTCAATTCCCTTCTCTCAATGCGTAGGTGTGTCTGTATACTTATACATTTGTGCACAGTATTGTATTCTATTCTCTCCATCGAATCATTAATCGGGACATTGTATGCGAACTATCTGGCAGCTGATTGGTTAACGCTGTCAACACAAGGAATTAACCAATCGCAGGATAGCTAATTTATTTTTCTACCTTAATAATACAATTTGACAATCGAAATTAGCTATTTATTGTAGAAGAAAACTTCTTGGAAAAACTGTATGGAATATTTTTTTTTTATTTACTTAACTCTTGGACTATACATCAATTGAATTGAAACGAACAATTATTCTGTTAACAATTCCCAATAATTATTTTATGGCTACACATGAAATAAAACAGAATTTAAATAATCCACATTCAATGCTCAGTACTTCAATAAACAATAACAACGAAATAATTGAACATCATCAAATGAATGAAACATTGAACAATGAAACTTTGAATTTAATTATGAATGGATCATGTTCAACGGCAGCGGTAGCAGCTGTTACCATGACATCATCATCATCATCAGGATCGTCAGCATTGGTCTCGTCAGCTTCATCAGTTGATGTATACGTCAACAAATGAATTCATCTTTATTTAATCGTATGTCATTTACTCCATTCATTACAGATACAACGGGTTTATACAGTAATAATAAAATGAATAATTCATGGTTTATGAAACAAATTGGTGGTCCATACAATACTACTTATACTGGTAATAATATAAGTAATAGTCTTGTAAATACGATTACTTCAGCTATTACTACTACTACTACTACTACTACTACTACTACTACTACTAGTAGTGGCATTGAAACCATTGAACCTGCATATATTACTGATAATACTACTAACAATAGCAGTAATAGTAATCCTACATACCTTTACCACACAGCGAATCCTTTTCACCAAAATCATGATGAATATTCTTCATCAAAGAGATTACACATTAACCCTGAAGATGTTGAATATACAGAAGAGATGGTAATGGTCGAGGATGATATTGCTGAAGAACAACGTAAACTACAAACTGACTTAAAACATGAACAAGTTGATGATATAGAGGATAATTGGAGAAACGGATATTAAAATTAGAGAGTGAACTATCCCATCACCACCACCACCATCATCATCATCATCATCATCAGGAGCTTCAACGAATGGATTATGAAGATGGTGAACGGAAAGATATCAGTATGTCTGGAAGGAGTTGCCGTAGAACTGGTCGCAGTACTAGTAGTAGTAGTAGTCGTAGTAATAACAGCAATAGTATTCATAGTAATGATCGTCTTTCAGTGATACTTCCGAAGAAAGAGTTCAATACTGAAATTCTATGTGAGGAGACAACTAATGATCGACCACAAAGTGATATGAGTTACTTGAGTCGACCTGTGGATGATCTCGATGTCAATAATGGTGTAGAAGAGGAGGGTGATGATGAAGAGGATCCTGAAGATGGTGATGAAGAGGAGGAAGAGGAAGAGGAAGATGGAGAAGATGATGATGATGTCAGACAGCCACAAATGCTCGCAGAACATGAGAACAATATGAAACACTTACCCCCTCCTCATTCTAACCATCCTCAACAAACACCCCATCACCATCACCACCACCATCAGCAACAAACTCATACAATGAACAGTCATCTCAATCTCCTCAAATACACTAGACAATCTCAAATGTACAATATGGAACCTGATGTAAATCGGTTTTGGAGAGAACACTAATCATAGTGACAATAACAATAATAATAATAATCGATTATTTATGTCACCATCACATCAACATCATCACCAGCAGCAACATCTTACTCCTCATCATCAGCCTCAGCAACAACCGCTATCTCAGACACCAGTCAATCAACAGGCAAGATATAACGCCTTAACTATGTGTCCACCAAATAAAAGTATTGAAAATATCATTGACTCACGTATACATCATGGAAAAATGATTGATCAATCTGGTGCAAATTATCCAATGAAGGGAAAGGTGAGTACAAATGCCTAGTAACTGACTACTCATTTAATTAAGTTGTATATTGACTCTGACTATCAAAACTTTGCTTAATTGTTAGGGAAATAACTTTTTAATGCGGCTATCAGTGATATCCAGGTAGCTTGACCCATGTTTCGTCCTATTCGGGAGCCGTCGGCTGCATTTACCACCACCCCAAACCATGGGCTCGATTCCGGCGGGGGGGGGAGGGAAACACCCCTCACTGCGACATAGGTGAGCCAGCCAGCTGACAAGTCGGTTCTGAAACATCCGTCGACCTGGGTTCCCCTGTTAGGGCCATCCGTGTAGGAAGCACAACCTACCTGCCAATAGACAGATCATGTGTCACTAAGAATATACTACTGAACACTTGTTTATGAGTAGTATTATTCAGCTGAGTTTTACATACTTCAGCAAGTCAACATCATCCTTTCAGAGAGTTTTGCGGCTGTTTTATTGGACAGATAGTGGAAATTTTGCGTTACTCACGTCACGAAACAATGCCATATGATTCTTCCCGGTGTCTTGTCCCTGTGCTGTTTCTCGCTCATAACTGCACATCCCTATTTCTCACTGGTTCAACTGACCTATCTGTAATTCCTTCAGTTGCTGTTGATAACAGCAGTTTTGTGATCATAGCAAAGTTTCTGACGAGTCTTCATAGATGCGAAACCTATTTTTATAATTCAAGGTTTTTCAATCACACAGACACGTGCTAGGGGGGGAGAGTAAGGAGAGTAATGTGAAAAACTGTGATAGGGTGGTTTGATGTCTTGAAGACGGTCTACTCATTCCAGACGTCAACTTTAAGATTTGTGGACACTTATTTATTGATTTCAGGAATCAAATTTCTTTCTCAATTGTCTTCTGTTTTCTTGTACACTTTGAATAAGCAAGCCGGATGCATTATCTAGATAATAATACAAGTTTGTGTTGCTGATGAGGCATAATGGGGAAAGAAACACACTTGATAACTAGTGATTTCGTTATGGTCATTGTTATCAAAATTTTGTTCTACTGGAGAATTTACTGTGGAAGTGAGAGACAAACTTCCCTTAGTCCTCCATTACCTCGAGATACTGGCTGAGAGATTCTGAAAAATTAGGATCCAACTAAATGATATTTGAAAAAGTTTTGTGAAAATCTTCATCGTTTAGGTAGAAATCATTCAAAATTCTACTGCAAACAAGTGAAGTATAGCTAGAGAATCATTTTAGGGGGGGGGAAGACTGACATTTTCACATGACATTCAATCCACGTAGACCCTAATAGACGTGATTGCCTTCATGTGTATCTTCTAGTTTCAAACCCTAAAGTTTTTGTTTGAATAGCCTATTTCAAGGTTATGCGCACGTGTGTGTGCATGCGTGTACTGGATGACCTTGAGCCTTCCGAGGCCAGAAAAAAAGGACGGAACATTCAATTGGCGATTTATGAGAATTGACTGATTTCAATCAAGATCGTAGTGATCATTACGAACCAATCGAATCAGTCGAAAAAGCATTAAAGCTTTGAGAGTACTGGGAAGCAGGTGTTTCGTCCTAACACAAGGCGCATCAGTATTACACACCTAAGACTTCACGATCATAGTGAGATCGCCAAGTCCTCGATGATTTGACTACAGTAAAATTGTCTATTGGACAGAATTCGTATAACCTAATCATCTTGACGACATACACCGAGATCCAGGATTAAGGTTCCGTCCTGTTTTGAACTGATTCATCAACCGTACGTGGCCCTCCCTAGTGAGTAGTGAGGTTGCCCACTCCCCACTGCAGAGTTTCACACCTATTACTCATCGCTTTGAACACCAAAGCATATCAGCTGTGGTAATGACATAGAGGTCGAGTAACTCGACTTGTCAACTCAGTTCTAAACAATAAGGCAACAGGTAGTTTACCCTGGAACTCCGTTTTTTACTCAAACATTCGTATACTTTCAATTATCCTCTTTTAAGTTTATCAATTAGTTGACTTGGGGATTAAATGAAGGTTTCGTTGTCTAATTGTAGTCAACTAAGATTTTACTTATCCACCTGTTGTGTGTGTGTGTGTGTGTGTAGTTGAGTTTTGTATTCCTCATGACAAATGCCATCATTATCTAAAAATAAGCCACATCAGGTGATATTTGTTTGAATTTGACGGATGTGTTTCTTCCTGGAAGAGACTCGTCAGTATGATTTCGTTTTATCCCAGTGTTTGCGTACTCACATTGAAAGTTGTTGCCTCTTAGTTTTATCAGACTGTTGTGGTTACGAAATCCACTTGAAGGAGTAACAATTTCTGATAGTTTGTTAATTCCAACGTGTTTAATCTACAGGGATATCTCTACACCAACAGACCCATCTTGATGAGTAAGCCTTTGAATTACACTTTACTGGATACAATTTCGAGACCCAATTTATTGATTTACTACTTGTTCTGACGATTGTGGAAGAAATATGATGGAGGGTTTCGTCACTTAATTGGATTCATCAATAGAATAGAGTTATCATTTTCATTAGCCTATGCTGAGTTGATTTTGAGGTGGAAAGTGACTTTCGTTGCTTCATCACGTATATAGACATCATGGCTATCAGCGGCGTATACATTCACCTTAGTGAGTAATCTAACAAATGTAACTATATTGTAAAGAGATTACAGATACCAAGGGAATCATGTTGAGGACGATCCTTTTCACGGTACCATTCCTCATCAGCTGACATCACTAAGGTGACAATAGATAACGATCTGCGTTCGCTGTACGTGGTCGGTGTTCAGAAGTCGAAATTTCCCACTCTTATTGGTTAGCGAGGAATACACATGATTTAGAAAATACTCTGACAAGCTGATCAAAGAAAGAGTACGACAATCTTCTTTATAGGCTGAAATAAGCTCAACGAACTGGTGAAGTCGTCCGGAGCTGGATATCTCCACCTTATAGTGGTAAGCTAAGACTTGCGGGACGGAGGGGGGGGGGGAGTGAACTAAGTTAGGCAGGAGTAGATGGTTGAAAACTGTGAAACATCGAGTGATATTTCACCCCGTAATGGAATGATTTACGAGTTGACAACGAAACTTTAAGGTCTTTGGTTCGAACTCCCAGAGATATGAGGTTGTGGGCGAATACTGATAATGAGTCTAATAGTTAGACGAAAATGCTGATAATCAATATTCTCAGGTCTTTGATAATTCACTTAGAGTTGCTATAGTCTCAGACAACCCATAATCCTAGGTGATAAATAGCTAGTGTAACATACGCCATAAGTCAGTCGAAAAAAGGTCACATAAGTGATATTCATTTCGACTCCCTGGTATAGCCATTGTGCTTTTGGTAGACTAGTATTACTGATATTGGGTAATGATTTAAGGCAAATCGAAATTTCGACACTGGTCGGATTCGAACTAGTAACTATTAAGTATCCTGTCACTCAGTACTCTACCAACTGACATGAGATGTCCGACTAATCGCATACTTGACTACCATATGAATTTGTCAGGTGTTACTATCGCTCAGTCATATTCAAACTGGCTGCCGAAGTCAAACTTATTGTATTGATGATGGATAGTGACGTATAGTAGAATCCAAGATGGTTGATAATCGTGTCAAAATAGAAGTAATCACTCAATAGCCGATACGACAATATTGCACGTTAAATTCACCAATAATTCAATCGATAATTAGGCCAATGATAATGATCGACAAGAACTGATCGACGACGAAGAGGTTGCAAGTGAAGATGAAGTGGAATCCAAGGGGGTGGGGGGGGGAGGGGATTAAGTACCTTGTCTTTCTGTTAATCGATTCCATAGGAGAAACAACTGGGGAGTGAATATCATTCTGGAGTTCACTCCCTCCATCTGTGATGATAGAGTCTTGGAAGAAGAATACTGTTTTCATATTTCTGAAGGTTGCAATTCTTATCAGTGTGTGGAGTGTCCAAGTTGGTAGACTTCAAGTATTAGCACTAGAAAGTCGTCAAAAAATGAAGACTGGAAGTAATCAAGGGAATTTGTTTTGATGATTAAGATAATGGTGATGACGTGTAGATACTTCTACACCAATAATATCGATTGACGACCATGTCTAGTAGACTTTCTAATCACTAATTCCTCTTTTCATATCTACCTTAATCGGACTTCTACATGGCTGGAACCAACAGTCGAAGGCTTTGTCAACTGGTATCATGGAAACAATTTTCCATTAGGATAGATCACTGCATCAATGTTACACGCAAGCCTGACCTCTATGTCAAGGTAGCAGCTGTTTCTTACTCTCTGAGCATATCTGGTAAGATGTGAAGACGACAGGGAGAATCCGTAAACACACACTCACAATGAACATGGTGACAATGGTCAGACAATGTCTACAAGGTAGACATCCTTAGATATTTCACAGTATGTAAGTAGTGCTGGTAAGGCATAGCTAACACATGTCCAAGCCCTCTCAGTCGATGGAAGTTCACAGCCTCACAAACTGAGTCTCTTTCCTCTCTCTGAAACTCTACATCTGACTTCTGAGTTGTCCACATCGTGACAGCATGACATATGGCTTATGTTACAAAGACGATGGCGGTCGAACACCTCACCATCCTTCATATCCTCTACATTCAATCGACTTATGCAATCTCTCATCTCAACCAATACATATACTCATCATTTACAACTGTCTTCTTTCTCCATATGGTTTCCACACACACACACACACACACACACACACCTCCCTCCACATTACTAATTCACATCGATTCATTTAGCTCAACTAAACTTTACCCAACAGCTCAACTACTAATCATCATGTCATTGATGAATCTCACTAGATTCGAAACACTTCTACATCATACAAAGACTTTCACTATCTGTCATCAATCTACACACAATGGTAAGTAAATGTATCAAATCAACTTGACTGAACAATTTTCACAGTTTCCAATGATTTTTCTAAATAAGAGAGAAGTATTGGCGAATGTTGTGTTGTTGAAGACAAGAGGATTATTCCACAATGACGTTGATAAT